TGTCGATCTGTTCCCTCACCACTCTATCCAATTGCTCAAACAGATCCTGGATCAAGCTCAGGAAGGTCTGTACTTTTGAACCGAGCACCGCATGTTGATGGCGCATGATATCCGAGATGGTCTTGATGCATATTATGGCATTGTCCTCGTTATCGGTTCGGACCAGGGTCATTAAGAGATCGACGACTTCTTCGGCATACGGCGCGAAGGGCTCGGGTGGTGACGGCTGGGTCGGAAGACGGTGGAGGATTTCTAGCACGCAGTTGCGCAGTCTCTGGGCGTTCGCCTGCTCAGGCGTGTTCGCTTGGAAGATGCATGGTGATCGGAGAATGATGATGAAGGCGGGCATCAATCGCTTCAGGAAATTCGGGTAGACCTGGCCAGTGGTATAGTGTTCGAGCTGGTCGCGCAGGGCCGTTGCTGCTTCGACCTTGACCCGAAGCTCTGCCAAACACGCTCAGGTCAGCTTGGACTGCACCAATGCAACGGCATGATAAGTAGGCAGCCTTACCGATGTCAGGGACACTGAGCTTCCGCACAATGTCTTCGAAGGTCCCGCTCGCCATGGCTGCGACATTCACCTCCTCGGCAGGTCACAAGTCGACAACCCGGTCAATGCGCAGCACGGTCGATAATAGTAATTGAAGTTTGATATTGACGGCTGTTAACTATCTATGCGGGCGATTAGTCCTCCGCTGTGCGATGGGTAGGAGCAACCTCGTTTAGGTGTGTGGGTTGGTTGTGGGTGAGGCGCCTGATGGTCGAACTGGAAGAAGCTCTGGGAAGCTTCAAGTTTGTCGCATTTGAGAAGACTCACTTTTGCATCTCCATCAGCGCAGTGAAATTAATAAACAGCCGCAAACTACTAGACTTTGTGAAATCTCTGCAGAGGCGGAGGGGTCGTGACTATTAAAAAGTATTCCCGGCGTTGGGTGGGAAGTGTAAAGTTTAAGACGAAGGAAGGGGTATCTTGAAAGTCAGAAAGTGACAAGTGAATTAACTGATGGAAGGCTGCGCTCCACGCTTCCTGCTGCTGCGCGTGTCAATCGAAAAATCCCAGGCCGTCGCGAAGCTGGGGGATGCGGCCGCGAAATCAAAGTACGCTAGGCTCCGCACCATCAATCTTCCGGAGAATATGGAGGGGCGTTCTAGAAGCTGAGTGGCTGTTTGCCCCATGCCAAGCCTCATGACTAGTGGGGCAGGTACGTACCGTGGCACTGGGAGATCTTATCTTATCGATTAAGCACAGTCCCCCGCAGTCACCTTCCCCAAAGTCTTGGATCATCCCGGGACATATTGGAATGATATCACTTTGACCTGACTTGGCAACTCCGGAGCCCAGGTAGTCAACAACCATAAATGCTTCAACAGGATCTTGTCATTACAATATAATAATTGTGTAGTGTATATTACTATTTCTCTTAAAGGAATGTTTTGGTCCTCGCCATCAACCACTCTAGTAGTTTTCTGGTTCTCAACCCTCATAAACAAGAATGAATGGAAACTAGCAGAAGCTAGGCCTTATTACCCATTATTACCACCAGCCAAGATAGTTAACCTTATCCCATACCAATCCAATAATGCAAAAACGATTGTCTATAGTCTTCGTGAAAATGTTCTTCGTAATATGTATGTATGTCCAAGTGAGTGTCTGGTATCAATGTGTGACACCGCCGTGTGTGTAAGCGAATGTACTGAAAGATGATTCGTAGCGAGCGTGTCTTTCGAACAGTAGCGAATTTGTGGCCTTGAATGATTGTGTTGTGTCGTGAACGATTGTCGTATAAATCATGATTTGATCTCTTTCCCAAATGCTTTGTAAATGAATGCTAGGGGTGTAAACTCCCGTAACCCCGTGCTGATGCTGATGATGCTGATGCTGATGCTGATGCTGATGTATGCAACGAATATGCGCCCCTGACAATGCTGAAACGACTGAACCCCTTATGAATGGTACTGAAACTGATATGTGAGAAACGAACGGCCGCAGCTACCAAGAACTGCCTAGCAAGATAACTATGCGAGTTGCTCAAGCAGCGAACTTGGCAGCGCGACGACCACGGACGGCGCGAGCAGCAGCACCACCACCGCAGTTGCCAGTAGGGGGAACCATGGCAGACACATCGCCGTTGGTCTCAACGGAGCTGCCAGGGTTGGGGAACAGGATATCCTTGCTATCGGCTCCGACAGTGGTGCAGTCGCCACCAATGTTGGCCGTGAACATGTCGGGGAGAGCAGCAAGAGCATCTTCGCTGCCCTCGGGACCCTCGATGCTGACAGGGGCGCAGTTCATGTAGAACTCACGGTTGCCGACCTTGTTGACCCAGGTCCAAGCAATGGTGGCGTTGCCCGTTGGGATGTCAGCGGGGATGGTGTATTCGTAGTTGTCCACACCCTCGAGCGCAGCGTTGTCGGGAAGAATGTTGCCAGCTTGGTTGCGGGCAGGGCAGCCACCCTGGATCGAGTGGAGGACCTTCCAGACAGAGGCGGCGGTGGGCGGGTTGTCATAGGTGATGGAAACCTGGCAAGAGCCACCACCGTGGACAGCAGAGCCGGTGAAGGCCATGATCTGAGTCGACCCCTTCTCCATGGGGGTAGCGGTACCGACGAACTGGGCACCGGCGCGGGCCTGGCAGGGGAAGTTGGCGCCCGTAGGGTCGAGAGGATCCTGGACAAGAGCAGGGCTGGTGTAGGGGACGGGGGTTCGGAGGAGCATGTGAGCCTGGGAAAGAGTGGCAAGGCCACCGACGGCAAGGACAGACTTGGTGAAGAACATTTTGATGGTTGGTATCGGTGTGGTGCTGGGTTGGTAGCGCAGAGCTGGCTGATACTAGAGTATCCAAACAAGGAATGACAGGACAAGTGCGGTCAACGAAACTTGGTCCTAGAAAGGAATGAAGATGGTATCTCAAAGGAGTGTGAGAGTAAGATGATTGCACCAGGCAATTAGAAAGGAAGGTGGGTCTTGAAGGAAAGACTGGAGTGGTTGATGTGAGTGTGAGGATGAGGAACCAAAAACTCCGAACCTGGAGGTTACCTGCTCCTTATATCCTCCCGTCCCAGCTCATCTCTCATGTCTACAAACAGCGGCACTGAGAACAGCATGTCGTCCGTGTGGGGACACAAAGGGCGAAGCCAGGTAGGTGCCTCTGATAGACAGGACCAAAACAAGGGCCGACGCAAAGAGGCCTTCGCAGCAGAGCATGGGATTCCCGCCGACCTTGGCATATCCCGCCCGGGCTGGCACGGCGCCGCCCATGATGACCCAGCACGTCTTGTCGCAGCTTGCGCCTATCCGGTAATGGAGCAGGGTGTACCGGCCGACTAACAACGAAGCTGAGTGGTTCCCATTGTGGTCTCTCCTGGTGGGGTATGTTTGAAGACCTGGTAGTAGGGCTGACCGTTCAGGGTCCAGCCGGCTGCATCCCAGGTTCAACACCGTAGTCCCCACAGACATCATACAATCCCCCGGAATATCAGGTCACAAGAGGCCTTGCTGGGTCGACGGCCTAGAAAGTCAATGGCTGGGTACGGAATCAGTCGCTCTGCAGTCTGTTCCTCCATGACAGATCCGTATTTCCGGCGTCAGAGGATGTTGATGTTGTCCTGCGGCAAACGCGGCACGGCGGGCTGAGTGAGGTCCATGAAAGGGTATGTTCTGGGGTCTCGCGACCCGCTATCGTGGCGCACTTGTGCAAGAGGAGAGTCTGCGGGAGAGGCTTCGGCCTGCCGTCGACCAGGGACGGAGCCAGCCGAACCTCAGCATCGATCTGCGGATCCGAAGTGTGCCGCCAGCTTCCCGAGCTGTTGAGCAGGTCAGATGACAAGTTCAGACGGTCTCAATGGTTAAGTGGTGATAGTTGGTCATGGCAGAGGTGGAAGAGTTGCCTAGACTGTTGTGATTGTTGGCCATGATCCCGTTGGGCTCGTCAATGTACCACACATAATATGATGCCAGTTCCTTTGTTGGAACAAGGATTGAAGATTGATGAGGTTCCATCACCAACGATCAAAAAGATGCAACCAGCCCCACGCACGTTGGATGTTCTGAAATGATCTGCGCTAGCTGCGTCATCTCCCGCAGGATTTGGTTCTTAGCGTTCCTTCAGTGGGGTTTAGGGCCAACAACCCCTGTGACGGATCATTAGCCTCAGCTGGTTGGGCTGTTGCTTTGGAGCATCTACCTACAATTTTGGCACCTGCTTTGTTCACTTGCATGTAATTCGAAGCTCACTTGATGGGATTTGCGAGTAGGTAAATTCTGATATAAACGGTCGGCATGGACTTTTGTTTCTTTGTTGGGGCATAAAACCGTTGAACTGACCCCTACTACCCATCCCTCACCTTTTGTCTTGTCTGGTCGTTTCCCAACGCCAGGTTGGGGGCTGGATTTTCTCACACGGTTTGGAATCAATTCATCTGTGAGACCTGACATCTCTTTAGAACTCTGGAGAGCTTAATGTTCACTTTTGTATTCGAAAAGACCCGAGTTCCTCACTGCAAGAGTAACAACACCACCACAAGAGTATGAACACCATGGATATATCACCAATTGGGCATAGTTACCGGTCTTGCCGCCCTCCTCAAGCGTGACCACGGGCCGTTACTGTATTCTTAAACAAACCGCCAAGTCGTCCACGATGCAGCAGTTCGGCAAGTTGACTCGAGTTCTCGTACAACCCGGGTGGAAGTCATCGCATTAAAGCAACTTGCACCTGTGGCGCAGACCGCTCTTCCGTCGACCCCAAGTTTAGTCATAAAACATCCAACGGCCGCCATCGCCGCAGGCCACAGTGTACACACACAACCCAGATGTTTCATCTTTCTCATTCTCTATCTAAAGATGACAGATCAATCCACATTCGCTGACGGGGACCTCGCTGATCTCGTAACCAGAACTCAAAGCCACATTATCGCTGTCTCCTCCTCTCACCTGACTCGCGACCCAAATTCCATACACCGAACCATCACGGCTCCCTCTCCTGCCGGCCGGCCATGCCTTACACAGCAGCCTCCACCTTTGCCGGTTCATTGGGATCACACCCATCAAAAACATACCCCGCCCTCGTCCACCTCTGCATCTTCTCCCGTCTAAACTCCTCCAAATCCCACTCCCTATCCTCCAGCTCATCCTCGTGATCCGGATGGAAAACATACACCTCTGCCTTTTTCGTCTCTCCTTCCACGTTCCCCTCCCCCTTCACATCCCCCACCTTCTCCAGCAACTTCACCTCGACCGTTTTCCTCACGTACTGTCCCCCCTCAAAAATGTCCAGCTTGTTCATGTTGGCGTTTGTGAGGCCGGAGGCGTACATGCCAAAGACTTTGTGGTCTTTGTCCGGGGTGATGCCGGGGTAGTCGGCGCCTCGAACGCGGCGGCGGATGTAGCCGGGGAGGATGGCGGGGGTGAAGGTGTGGAGGGCTTTGATCTCGGGGGGGACGTTGGATTGGTTGTAGCAGACGGTGTAGAAGACGTCTGGGACCATGAGGGTGCCTATTTGTTTTCTGCTTAGTATGAAATTGTAAGTGGGAAAAAAGGGGGGTGAGATGCTTGCCGTAAAAGAAGGCCGTGTGAGTCCCCTCGTCGGCTTGGACGCTGGGTTGAATATCCTCTAGGGTGACCATTTTTTTGTTTTTGTTTTGCTTTATTTGGAATCTTGAGTATTTGACTCTCTGTTGGTGAAAATATCTTCTCTGTTGGCTGTAAACTGTTAAATCTGTTTATCAAGGTCAGTTGGGCTCAGTTCATATCTTGTTCATAAAGGCCGGGGATGTCGCGGCAAGATGGAAAGGTGGGGGGGGCAGGGGGAGGAGGGGTTACACTAACACTTGCGCTAGACTTGCAACTTGACTGCCTATTTCGGAAGCTGTCTTTTGTTTCGATGTGTTGATGGAATGAGAAAAGAGAGGATATAAATTTGAAGAGATGGAGATTGTTCTCCTTTTACCCAACTTTTTTTTGCCTGACTGCCGATGATTGTTCACTGTGTCAGAGCGTGTAGGCGCCGCCAAGAACGAGAGACAAGAAGACTCACCTAGCCAAACTGTGGTATCAAAGAAGGCAAGAAAGGGTTTGTGTTGGGAGTTTGCCTCTGGATGTCACTGCAAGCAATGCCTCATTGAGGGATGCCCAATATTTAGGGGGGGAAGCTGATTGAGAGCCAAACCGATGGGGATGAGTCAGGTGATTCTTGACAAAGCGTTGGTGTCGGGTGAGAGGTAGAATGAAAGTGAGAAATAGATCATAGTTTCAGAGGGGACTTATTAGACCTATATTCCTCCCAAGAAACTGTTCCCCATTGCGGACTTGAGAGAGACTCACTGAGCTGGGTTGGCTGTGATGTCTTTAACTGTAAGAACATGACATACCAAGTAGACAGACTTTCGTGCCATTAACGAGAGATAAAGCTCACAAGTGACCCAGATATGACCAGTAACAGAAATAAAACTATAATGGTAATTGTACCTATCGCTTTGTGAGATGTCTCGTTGTCGAGTCCTCAGCATCGATGCATCGGCCCGAGCCGACATGACCCCGGTCCCACTTATTCAACTCACCCGTGGGCCTCACCCGAATTTCAACCACCTCTCATTTTCACAACTCACCACTTATACAAACGCCACTCCTCACCATCCCGCACACCTCCAACACATTCTCTCGCCTCAATCCTCACCACATCTCCCGACAAACCCTCATCAACGCCCGAAACCACAACAAACAATGAACGAAGCCCTCCAAGACGAAATCGCAGCCCTAAACTCCATCTACGGCGACTC